CGCCCCCTTTCACCGATTCCTGCATTGAAAGCACTCGGGCTTTGCCCCAAAGACCATCAAAGTCCCAATGTATTGCTTATGAAGAAAATATTTTGTTTATTTTAACAGACAAATTATTTGTGTTAATTACAGCTGTTCATAGTAAACACATGATACACGAGTTGACTCTTTTAAGTCATCGGAAATTGTGACTGTTATTAGCTTTGAACGCCTGTAATACTTTGCAATTGCTCGAATTCGAGCAACATGTATACTAGTATTTATAAAAATAGCTAACTCTGTATTATCTTAGCGATTGTACAAAAATATCAATGCATAAGAAGTTTCATTCAAACCGTAAAACCCTATGCTATATTATTACATTATTATTATACAGTGAAAATTTATTCGTAGCAAAGTAACAACACGCGCACACGACTATAACACTACTGTAGGTGTGATGAAGACCAAGACTAGACCAACGTCAAAAGTTAGTGAAGAGCAAAGAGGTGTAGGAGGAGGAGAGGTTTGTACAGTTCGGCCAAAGTTTCTGTGCGCGTGACCAGATCTGTTTGGGTCTAGGCAAGGCGGTTGGCGGGGGTAATTTTGTGAAAAAAATTGTGTCTTGCTACTCACTCACCCCTACCCTCACGCACTGCCAACAACCGGTATCCGTAAGTTTTAGTTCGGCTAGTAGTGCGACCCCGACCCGTCCACGCGCACAGAATTTGTAGGCTGTTGCCTGTTCTTTGACTCAAGCGTGTTTGGCGCGCAAATAGCGTGCAGTACAGTACAGCCAAAACTTCTGTGCTTGTAGACCGGTATACTAGTCGAACTAAACATTCGGGTCGGTTATTGACAGTACAGGGGAGGGGTGAGTGATGAGCAAGACACAAGTGGTTTCAAAAAAGTGCCCTTGCAAACCCCCTCACCTTTGCCCAACCAGATCTGGTCGCGCACAGGAACTTTGGCTACTGCCGGTATTGCAGTTGTTTGTGGAATTTTTCTGCACAAAAATTTACCCGAGTAAATTAACGGTAGCGTACAAAATACGAAACGTGACAGTGGATTGGGCCGTTTAGTATTTTGAATACAATAATATTTTAACTCGTCATAAAGTTAAATATTATTATTACTATGAATCTGATGGGGAACTTTAAAGACGAGGTGGACTTAAGACCACCTGGTCCTTTCTTCAAGTAAATCTCTAAACGTATATACATTACAAATTGTACATCAAAGTAACTTCAAACAAAAAATAACAAACTAATGTATACACTGCTTAGTTAATATACATTATGATATCACTATTATGAAATTATGCAGTGGTTTTCTTACCAGATTTAACTAGTTCGGTTACCATCATCACTGTCTATCTGTCCGGGTAGTACTTTGCAATCGAGTTTAAACTGACTTAAAGATAAGACCTACATTTTAAATATCGGTCAGAACTTTATGACAATGAAAATATCACTGTATAAAAATAGGCTGGAGTTGACAGAGACTTGTTCAAATGTAAAATACCCCCGCCGCAGCAAACCTGCAGACTAAGCGAATTTCCATTTGAATGATTTGATTTACACTGAAATGTCTACTTAAAAATATAACATTTATTCCCGATTTAAATAGAATTAGTTTAACAAGTACTTAGGTTTGCTGCATCAGGGAGGGTAAAACTGTTTTTTTTTTGTAAAATGTTAATAGTTAGTAAGAAATAAAAACGTTTTCCAAATTTGATCAAAATATGTTCATAAACAAGCAAACTACAACAGTTTACTTATTCTCCATAAGAATAACATGGGAATTTTAAATTTAAAATTTTTTTGAATTTTCTCTGTAACCATTAGGCGCATAATAACGCTTCAATATACTAAATTATTTGTTTTTTTAAGCTCTACAAAATGGTTTGGAAAGAAATTGCAAAATTTTATGTTTTTTTGGTCAAAAATGGGAAAAACCTATTTTTACCCCATAAAACCCCCCGTAAACCCCCGTTCCCATGGTCCGATCATGCTGGATCGCGAACTCGTTCGAATAAACGTAGGTTTACACGTTTGTACCAAATATCATCAAAATCGGATCGTTTTTGCTCGAGTTATCGTGCTAACGGACACATATATATATATATATATATATAAATATATATATAAATATATATATAAATATATATATATATATATGAATTTGAAAGGATGGTGTTTTAAGCCTCTAGGGACCTCAAAACAAAAAAAAAAATCGGTCCCGCGTCCAGGTCTTACCATGAGTACTACGGTAATAGCTTATTCCCTATATGGGAAATTCGCTAAAAACAATTATTTAGCTTTAAGTTACCATATGTATCTTTTATCCATACTATTATATCAAATTAGGTAGTGTCTATCTGTGTTTCAATCCCGCCCGAACTACTGAACTAATTTACCTGCAATTTGGTATAGTCTATCTACCAAGGAATGTCATAGACCTCTTTCATCACAGCTGATTTCAGTAAATAATAGGGAATTGTATTTTAAATAACACTAGCTGTTACCCACGGGCTTCACCCCGTTTGACTTGAGTATTAATAAAACTATTGATTGGTTAAGTTAACCTGAAATTAACAAAATACAGTAAAACAAAGAAATAATCACACCTGATTTTAATAAGGTAATAAATTGAAAGAATAACAAACAAATAAGTACAGCTGAGGTATTTTTAACATTAGGTATATAGATATTTCCCTTTAGAAAGGAATTACGACCTTAAAGGGCAAGTTATGAAATAATAGATAGTTTGGCGCAAGGTTTCTCGTCATGACGAACATTTTAAGTATATGGTTTATAGGGGTGTGACTTGTAGTTTTCTCAAAAGTTCATGGGTACTTTTGGCTTTATATATAGATATGCCCAAAAGTACAAACTAAACACTTGCTTAGTAACTTTTCACGTGAAAGTTGTATAGTTCTTCTAAATTGGTCGCTATTAATAATTACTCATTTGCCTTACCTAAGATATCCTAAGAAATTTATACTTTCCAATTAATATAGTTTACAATTAAGAAAACCCATACAAATACACGGATTGTACAAACGTAGGGATGCGTGTAACGATCGTGTTGTATTTATCTGATGTCTGCTTAGTGCTGTGACACCACCGACTCACGGACTGGGGGCGCTCTGCTCGCCAACGTGATCCACTGGCCCTGTCTATACTGATGTTAAGAGTCATTTATAAATGTAGGATAGCCTCTATGATAGAATAATAGGAGATATGACAAGCCTGAGCTAAATGTTGGGTTCAGAAATACATTCCTGTCCTGGTAGAATATTATGAGTATTACATTGCATTTCATCAACATTTATAAATATAGCCTATTTAATATATTTTTATGACGTTTTAAAGGTTTATACCTAACTTTTCCGTTTTTTCGTTGTGCATTTTATGTGACGATGGCATTGGACTATTGTCAGCACTGGGTCCAGCAGTGCAACGTATAGATCACCGATCTAACAATATTTCACCGTAATCAGCAGCAAACATGAATAAGGAATTCAAGTTATTACAACAGACGATCTGACATCCCGTCAACATGACACCTCCAGTTGGGTCAACGAATATGCTAAAAAAATAACTAGATAATTGAGTGTGCCTACTTGCTTCCTGTTTTGTATACAACAAAAATATATTTCAACAACACATTAACTCTGATGTGCACTATCCCATTGATGAAACAAAATTATACAAAGACAAATTTATCGCAAAGGCAACAAAATCGGTCATCCAGTATCAATTTAAATAGTTGTTTTTATTTCCGGGACCTGATAGCTGAGGTAGTTCCCCAGCTTCGCCCCCAGATCTTCGACTAACCACTGCACTACAACGTGACGTCTCCAGGTTGCTAGGCTACCAGGGCTAGGACCCGAAACAGTCAACAAGTATATTCCCAAATGGACTTATTTATATCCGGTCGTCATACCACGAGACATTCCGTCAGTGAATGGGAGGCCCACACAAGGGTGGAGATCGATAAATTACTCAGGACCTCGAAAAGTCTTATAAAGTACTAAGTCCCCAAAATACCACGATTATGTAATTTTGTGTAAATTCTTGAGTCCCGAAAAAGTCAAGTGCCCAAAATATCTTATATACATACGGGAATTCAGGTCCTCAAAATACTGCAATAGTGTATTTTCGTATTAATTCTTGAGACCCGAAAAAGTCAAGTCCCCAAAATGTCTTATACACTACATATATATATATATATATATATATACATATAAATATATGAATTTGAACGGATGGTGTTTTGGGCCTCTAGGGACCTCAAAACGAAAATTAAATCGGTCCCGGGTCCAGGTATTACCATGAGTAATAGCTTATTCCCTATATGGGAAATTCACTAAAACAAGTTTGAATAAATATATATATATATATTGTATATGTTTTTGTATTACAAACTTTAAATTGTTTCAATTCTTTGACAAACGTGAATGATTGTAGGCTTTTGTTTATATGTTTAAATATGCAGAGCCCTCCCACAACCTATGATTCCCAGCCGCTACTGTACAAGCCTGCAAGTGTTTCTCTGTACAGTAGAGTCCCGCAAACTCAGCGTAATGTGGACTGGAAGGGTGCCGAGTTTGTGAAATGCCGGGTTATCGGGAACTAGGGTTAAAAATAAGAACAATACAATTTGTAAGCTAATTAACTACCTCTTTTATTTAGGTGTATTAATAGGTATTACAAGTCAGTATTAAGTCATCAGATATAGTACAACAAATCATCTGTACGAGCTGAGAATGATTTGACTTGAGCTGGCTTGAGTCCATGTTTAACTCGGACTCAAAAAATCACTAATTTTCTGAGCCAGATGATGGCCGAGTTATCCAGACTGCCGGGTTATCGAGTGCCGAGTTTGCGGGACTCTACCGTATTCCCTAACTGTTGAGTACCAGTACTGTTGAGCATGCAACAGTGATAAGCCAGACAGTTATGAAACCTAACACATCTGATTCACTATGTTTTGCTGTTGGCTACTGTAGTTACCTCGACTGATGAGCTCCTTCCCTTCCTCCATCAAATCAGAGGTCAACTCGTCGTCGTCCAAGAACTGCTGGAAGCCAACCAATGAGAGAAGCCGAGATCCAATGCTGAAGTAAGTGGCCAAACAAAATGCCAGTATCCCCATCGGAAAATAAATGTTGAATCCATCAGAAATAATTGACACTACATCCATATGTCCCATCACCTGGAAAAGATTAATGCAATGATTTAATTTTAAGTATTATGGTTCAAACCAATCCCAATCAGTCTTTCAGTCTAGGACACATTCTATTGTGCAAATGTACTGGCAATTCATGTATTCACGAGGCCAGTAGAGGAGGCAGGTTACTTGCCTCTCATGTATTTCAAGTTACCTGAGGCAAGTAACCTGCCTCCTCTACTGGCAATTCATGTATTCACGAGGCCAGTAGAGGAGGCTGGTTACTTGCCTCTCATGTATTTCAAGTTACCTGAGGCAAGTAACCTGCCTCCTCTACTGGCAATTCATGTATTCACGAGGCCAGTAGAGGAGGCTGGTTACTTGCCTCTCATGTATTTCAAGTTACCTGAGGCAAGTAACCTGCCCGCTAACTGGCCTTGTGTAAACACGGCTTAAGAGTTTTCTATATCTCTGCTATTAATTTATTCAATTATGTTGATATAGGAAAAACAAAAAAAATGTTAATAATTCTGGAAAGCCAACATGCGGTAGAGTAATAAAATTAAGTAAAATGTATGACAACACATTCACAAACAAGCAACTTACAGCTATTATTTTACTCTCCTTGGTGAAAACATGATAGATACAGTAAATGCTAATTAAATGGACTGATTGGTGCACCACTTTGCTCAGATTAGTGAAGTTAAAATAATACAAATGTGAAGAAAGCAGTGCTAGTTTGGAACCAGGAATAACAGTCTTCAATCATTACTGAGTTGTGGGAGCTAGTTTAAGTGGACATGAATGCTTCAAATGGCCAACCACCAGGAACATTTCATGTTAGCATGTCTATACAAACACATTTACAGCCTGCAGCGGATAGCGTCTGTTGGCAATTATGTGGACGCTAACTCAACGCTTATGTCCATGCCCTACAATTTCTTTCCTCTCCACGCCAGTGCCATTTTTATTTGAAGAATTACATATGAGGATGTACTTAAACGCTTTTAGGGAAAGTTGTCCTAACCGATATGGTGCCGAGAACCCAACCCGTTCCTGTAGCACTGAAGTCCAAGTGCTACACGCTATACGCTAAACAAGAGGTTAGTTTATCATTTTCAACCCTCTGTTTACATGCAAGTAAAGAATTAAACATCCAAAAACTCCTTGCTGGGAATTAGGCCTTCAGCCATAATAATGACAATGTTATCATAAAGAGGGCAATTTGAGTTGACAGCGTTATACTAGTGTATAGCAAACGACTAGGTGCACTTCTCAAAAGCATGCTAAGAAAAAAAACTGCATAGGGTACAGTGTTATTTTGGGTGAGGTTCATTTGTCCGAGTTTTCAACTGTCCGAGTTTGTCAAAAATTACAAAATATTAGAAAAATCAGTTGTCAGAGTTCCATTTGTCCCAGTTTTGATAAATAACTAATAATATTTAGATAAATCAACTGTCCGAGTTTTCATTTTTCCGAGTTTATTAAATTATAAAAAAATATTGAAATATCAAGTGTCCGAGTTTTTAACTGTCTGAGTATGGTTTAAATAATAATAATATTTGGTTAAATCAACTGTCCGAGCTTTCATTTGTCCGTGTTTTTAAATTATTTTAAAAAATATCGAAATATCAAGTGTCCGAGTTTTCAACTGTCCAAGTAGCGTCAACATCAAAAGTGACACCGCGTGCCGAAACTAGCGTGTAGGCGCCTGGTCAGAAGCCGATGTAAACCTCTTCTGCGAAGAAGTCTGGCATTGAGCGAGATCCCCTCACGTCAACTTAAGAAAAATTATAAAATTTATTTTAAATTATTTGATTATGAAATTATTTTTTTTAATCATAACTAAATTTAAAACTTTTAATTATAAAATAAAACTGTCGTCACCTAACACAACCAACCAAACTTGCTGATGATATAAAAAAGATATAAGATAAAAATCGAATGAAGGTTTACTAATAAACAAAAAATAGTCCTGTTTATAAAATAAAATTATAAATGCCTCAAATTCTAACAAAAAAGATGTACAGTTAATAAGTAATCAAATTCTAAGCGAAATATTTATATTATCAGCAAGTTTGGTTAGTTTGGTTTGGTGATGACAGTTTAATTTAATAATTAAAAATTGTTAAATTAGTCTTAGATAAAAAAATATAATAAAAAAATTATAAAGTTATTTTTAGAATTTTTCTCAAGTCCACGTGAGGGGCTCTCGCACAATGCCCGACTTCTTCGCAGAAGAAGTTTACATCGCTTCTGACCTGGCGCCTCAGACGCTAGTTTTGGCACGCGGTGTCACTTTTGATGTTGACGCTACTCGGACAGTTGACAAATCTGACAAATGATGTGATCCGCATTTAGTAGCAATGCAATAATAAGTATAATATCAAACCACACCGACCTTAACCCTAAAAAACTCTGGTAACCTTTATACCTGTGTATAATACGTCTCCATGTTGTTGTTCTTAATGATGTGGCTGTCCATGTGTATGAGACCCAGGAAGTTGAGACATAGAGGAGGAGTCAGTCGGCATACCATCCTGGCAGAGACAACACAATACATCACTCTACTGTATAAGATAACCCCCAGTAAAACCAACAACCTACTTCAAAAACCGACCCAATCCTAGAGATTTATACAGTTTGCAGGTTCGGTTTTATAAATTGATAAAAGCTTTGCTAAACAAGAGAATGAAATAACAGTATTGGAAGCAAGAAACAAGCATTCCCGTTTATTTGTACAGGTATATATTTTCAATATGAGGTTGAGACCAATTTAGCATCTGCAAAATATAATTTATGTTTGTTTTTAGCGAATTTCCCATACAGGGAATAAGCTATTATCATAGTACTCATGGTAAGACCTGGACCCGAGACCCATTTACTTTGAGGTCCCTAGAGGCAAAAAACACCATCAGTTCAAATTCATATAAAAAATATATATGTCCCTTAAAACGACAACGAGCAACAATTATCCGATTTTGATGAAATTTGGTATAAACAAGTAAACCTACATTTATTCGAACGAGTTCGCGAACCAGCATAATCGGACTATGGGAACGGGGGTTTATGGGGGGTTTTGTGGGGCAAAAATTGGTTTTCCCCATTTTTTACCCAAAAATCATAAAATTTTGCAATTACTTTCCAAACTATTTTGTAGAGTTTAAAATAACAAATAATTTAGTACATTGAAGCGTTATTATGCGCCTAATGGTTACGGAGAAAATTCCAAAAGATTGTAAATTTAAAATTTCCATGAGAATAAGTAAACTGTTGTAGTTTGCTTGTTTATGAACAAATTTTGATCAAATTTGGAAAATGCAATTATTTCTTACTAAACTATTAACATAAAAAAAAAAAAAAAACACTTTCACCCTCCTTGGTGCAGCAAACCAAGAGTACTTGTGAAATTAATTATATTTAAATAAGGAATGAATGTGATATTTTTAAAGAGACATTTTAGTGTAGATCCAATTAGGCAAATGGAAATTCGCTTAGCCTGCAGGTTTGCTGCGGCGGAGGTATTTTTTTTAATTCTTGAATTATCTTAAATACAATAATTCTCTATATGGTACAAGCTATAGCTTACTTACATCCCAGAAAATATGAGACTGTGTTCATCGGTCTGATGGTGAGGGGCCAGGTAGTAATAGTTGAGAACTCGTATCCTCAGAATAGTAGAGTACGCGCAGAAACACAAGTACGCAATTATCACTGTAGACAGCAGCTGCAATAGACCGGTGAGGAAATAAGTACAGAAAATATAGTTAAGACAGGTACTAATAAATTTTAAAGAGGATAAAAAAGTTTTAACTACTGTAGTGATGGATCGGTTGCTAATTTTATCAATTCACTTTTTTTTCAATCAATTGTCAGTTTTCTTCCATAAATCACTTATTTGAATAGATTTTTCCCCTACTTATGCAAAGGTGAGACATATGTCTAAATTTCATCTTGTGTATTGCCTTCCGGATTACTTCATGAATTGTATACAAGAGGTTAAGTTACCTTGATTCTGTCCAAGTAATACTTAAGTCGTCATTAGTGCGACCGGTTTCGATGTCTATGGCATCATTGTCAAGCTGAACGTAAAAATCGCTCCTAGGAGGTCGTCATGAGCCTTGAAACACACGTTGTTACGTAACACATAACACGTACACAAACAAAAAACGATAAAATGCATGGCCACACAACTAATTTACAACACGGCGGCGGGTACGGGGTGTAGGTCTAGACTCCTCTCCCCACCTTCCCCCTCGAGTTATCAGCTGTTGATAATATTTCGTCGATGTTTAAAGCTGTCTCATAAATTATATTGGATTCAAACGAGGATTTATCACTTAGGATGTGTTGGGGGTGTTTTTCGCCGGCCTTGTAAATTTCGTATTCCTCAATAGTATCTAATAATCTTCCTCTTCCTTTATGGGATCGTAGAACTTCTAGATTGGTGTTAAAATCTGTATATTCATGGTTGTTATTAATTAAATGTTCAGCAAATGCGGAGTTAGGTTGGTTAACTGATGGTTTCGGGAGATGTTCTTTAAAACGTGTTTTAAATGGGCGTGAGGTCTGACCAATATAAAAGCTTGGACAACTGTCACAATTCAGTTTGTATACACCTGAATTTCCTGTTTGATCGTCACGGTTTGTTTTCTTATCTTTTAATACTGATGAAAGTTTATTCAAAGTTTTAGATGATACGATAACTTGGTTTTTAGACATTTCTCTGCTTAATGTATGGTTGAGATAGCTGCCAAATTCGGTGGAAACGTATTTCGGTCTGTCTAAGGTTGTTTTTATGCGGCTATTTTTGTTCTTATGTTTCAAGATTAGTTTGTCGATGATATTGCTCCTGTAACCGTTAGCTATTGCAATATATTTAATGGTATTGACCTCTTCGTTGTAGTTTTCTTCAGACTTCGGGATTGAAAGTAATCTATTAACAAAACTGTGATAAGCTGCCAATTTCTGGTTTTGTGGATGATGTGAACTATTATGGATGGTCTGGTGTGTGGTTGTAGGTTTTCTATAGATTTTAAAAACGAGTTTGTTTTTATCAGAACATCTTGAGATACTAGAAAAGGTCTAGAAAATTCAGTGTTTTATTGCTTTCGGTTTCGAGAGTAAACTTTATGTTTTTATGTAAGCTGTTCATGTAAGTTAGTAGCATTCCCAACTGTTGCTTTGTGCCATTAAACAGGACAATAGTGTCGTCTACATAACGATGATAAAATACAATTTTTTCTCTCAGGCGGTTTTTATCAGACCATAAATGTTTATTCTCAGGGTCGTTTAAATATATCTCTGCTAATATGGATGATAGCGAAAAACCCATCGCTAACCCTTCTTTTTGTAAAAATATTTTGTCTTCAAACTGGAAATAATTCTGTTTCATAATAGTTTCGGTGAGACTTATGAGGTCGTTTACTGCTTCTTTGCATAAAGATGAGTTTGTTAATAAGTTCTTTTCGAGTATTGAAAGGGTTTCATTTACTGGTACATTTGTGTACAGATTAACTACATCGAATGATGCTAAAATGTAACTATCTTTTAGTGTGACATGATTTATCATATTTACAAGATCAGTACTATTTTTTAGACTAGAACTTTTGTCAAATTTGACCTCGCGTCGTATTGTGGAGTCCAATTTCTTTGCAACTTTGTATCCTGGGGATGGAATAAGCCGGACATACCCATAAGGCCACTTGTAAATTTCATTCCATCCCCAGGATACAAAGTTGCAAAGAAATTGGACTCCATAATACGGCGAAAGGTCAAATTTGACCAAAGTTCTAGTCTAAAAAATAGTACTGATCTTGTAAATATGATAAATCATGTCACACTAAAAGATAGTTACATTTTAGCATCATTCGATGTAGTTAATCTGTACACAAATGTACCAGTAAATGAAACCCTTTCAATACTCAAAAAGAACTTATTAACAAACTCGTCTTTATGCAAAGAAGCAGTAAACGACCTCATAAGTATCACCGAAACTATTATGAAACAGAATTATTTCCAGTTTGAAGACAAAATATTTTTACAAAAAGAAGGGTTAGCGATGGGTTCTCCGCTATCATCCATATTAGCAGAGATATATTTAAACGACCTTGAGAATAAACATTTATGGTCTGATAAAAACCGCCTGAGAGAAAAAATGGTATTTTATCATCGTTATGTAGACGACACTATTGTACACAAAACTACAATTTTTGTACACTAACTAACTATTTTTGCACACTATTGTATACAAAAATGGTTTGACCAAAATGTTCTATCCTTAAATGTTTCAAAAACCAAATTCTTACCAATTTCATTAAGAGATACTACTGATTATAACTTGGAAAATATTTCAATTCACTGTTGTGGCAACTTTTTAAATAACCTTTGCTCTTGTGAGCAAATTGAGAAAGTAAGTTCTTATAAATATTTAGGTGTGGTTTTTGACAATCGTATGAAGTGGTCTGACCACATACATTTTTTAACCTCTAAATTACATAAATATATTTTTGCATTTAGGAAACTGTGTGACATATTAACAACGCAGGAAATGAAGCTAGCATATTACGCCTATGTCCAGTTGTTACTTTCATTTGGCATTATCGCATGGGGCGGAGCTTTTCCCACTGTTTTAGAACCTCTCTTTGTCCTTCAGAAGTTATTACTCAAAGTTTGTATCAATAAGCCAGTTCGATACCCCACTAACACTTTATTTCGTGGATTATCCTTACTCAGTGTAAGACAGTTATTTATTAAATTTCTTTCAATTCATGTTTTCAAGAACTTTGATTCTATTTTTAACCAAACATCACATTCTTATAATACCCGATATGCACAGAATGTCGGAATAACTACCTCCCATTTCTCCAAGTCTTACTCATTAACAAATTCCTCTTACATTTCTGAAGTTTTATATCGTAATGTTATCTCCCGTTGTAATTCTTATCATTTGTTTCATTCTCCATCGATTACTATTTTCAAAAAATGCATCACTGGCTGTCTTATAGAGTGGGGTGTAGATGAATCAGAACTCCTAATCAAAGCAGAGTACAGGCAGACTTGACCCTACTTTATTCTCTCGTAATTATTACTGAATTACTAACATCGAACATTCTTAACTATAGTATGTCTATGCCCTCCGCCTTGCCTCATTCCTCAAATTGCTCATTTCACTAATTTAGCCTCAGAATAGTTGACAGTACTTTACAATTATATTAAATTACTTGTTATTTTTAAGATTTTCTAAATATTTATGAATATTATTGTTTTCCAACAAATACGTAATTCACTGATAGCGACTGAGCCTACGCTGAGCGACTGAGCCTAGGCTTCCAGCCCATGTAGGCTTATTTCCTAAATGACTATATTAACATAGCTTTCTCTGAAACCTCCATCATTTGTTATTATTAATATTAAGTTTACATGTATTTTTATAATTACAGTATTTATTTTATTCAAGCAATAGCTAGTAAGGTGTCTGTTTCACTGGAAGTTTATGTTTATATTTTACTCTGTTGAATATTTTTGGAAATAAAGTATATTTTGATTTGATTTGATTTGATTGTCCTGTTTAATGGCACAAAGCGACAGTTGGGAATGCTACTAACTTACATGAACAGCTTACATAAAAACATAAAGTTTACTCTCGAAACCGAAAGCAATAAAACACTGAATTTTCTAGACCTTAGTATCTCAAGATGTTCTGATAAAAACAAACTCGTTTTTAAAATCTATATAAAACCTACAACCACACACCAGACCATCCATAATAGTTCACATCATCCACAAAACCAGAAATTGGCAGCTTATCACAGTTTTGTTAATAGATTACTTTCAATCCCGAAGTCTGAAGAAAACTACAACGAAGAGGTCAATACCATTAAATATATTGCAATAGCTAACGGTTACAGGAGCAATATCATCGACAAACTAATCTTGAAACATAAGAACAAAAATAGCCGCATAAAAACAACCTTAGACAGACCGAAATACGTTTCCACCGAATTTGGCAGCTATCTCAACCATACATTAAGCAGAGAAATGTCTAAAAACCAAGTTATCGTATCATCTAAAACTTTGAATAAACTTTCATCAGTATTAAAAGATAAGAAAACAAACCGTGACGATCAAACAGGAAATTCAGGTGTATACAAACTGAATTGTGACAGTTGTCCAAGCTTTTATATTGGTCAGACCTCACGCCCATTTAAAACACGTTTTAAAGAACATCTCCCGAAACCATCAGTTAACCAACCTAACTCCGCATTTGCTGAACATTTAATTAATAACAACCATGAATATACAGATTTTAACACCAATCTAGAAGTTCTACGATCCCATAAAGGAAGAGGAAGATTATTAGATACTATTGAGGAATACGAAATTTACAAGGCCGGCAAAAAACACCCCCAACACATCCTAAATGATAAATCCTCGTTTGAATCCAATATAATTTATGAGACAGCTTTAAACATCGACGAAATATTATCAACAGCTGATAACTCGAGGGGGAAGGTGGGGAGAGGAAGACACGGCGTCAGTCTAGACCTACACCCCGTACCCGCCGCCGTGTTGTAAATTAGTTGTGTGGCAATGCATTTTATCGTTTTTTGTTTGTGTACGTGTTATGTGTTACGTGTGTTTCAAGACTCATGACGACCTCCTAGGAGCGATTTTTACGTTCAGCTTGACAATGATGCCATAGACATCGAAACCGGTCGCACTAAT